CTCACCAAGTTGCCCAGGCGTGTCTCGAACCCGCAGGCTCAGGCAATCCACTCACCTCAGCCTCCCAAAGCGCGGGATTACAGGCTGAGCCACCGAGCCCGGCTTCCATTTTTAAATAGAAGGATACCACAATACTTCTCTAACAATAGATGTATTAGAAAAACCGAACATTATAACTGCCTTAAAATATTAATGAAAATAAATTATCATTGAAAAATATTGGAGATAAAACATACCAGGAGTCTATCTTCATTGCACAAAAACTCCATTAGAAATGGATTCCCAAGCATCACTTAGTTTCTTGGGAAATATACACTTGTATTAAAATATTATTGACTTTTTTGGAGAATATGTATCAGTTTCATGCTGATCTAGGTATTGTATAACAGTGGGGGATTCTCTCTATAACTGAGAAGTAGGAACTTAGCAATAAATCTGACATGATAAGAAAAAATAAGAATGTACTCTCGTCGGGGTTCCGTGGCTCAGCCTGTAATCCCAGCACTTTGGGAGGCCGAGGTGAGTGAATTGCCTGAGCCCGCAGGTTCAAGACCCACCTGGGCAACTTGGCGAGACCTCATCTCTACAGTAAATCAAAAATTAGCCGGGCGTGGTAGCGTGCGCCTGTAGTTCCAGCTACTTGGAAGGCTGAGGCGGAAGGATCGCCGGAGCCCAGCAGGTTGAGGCTGTGGTGGTCGGTAGCGGCCACTACACTCCAGTCTAAGCGACAGAGTGAGACTCAACTCAAAAAAAAAAGAATGTACTCTCCATTTGCAGGTTAATTTTATCCTTGTACATTCATAAAAATGATGCTCCTTAGTTTTTTTCATTTTTTTTGAATAGTCAGGCGATTAGAGAAAAACGTTAAAGAGGTGCTGGAAGATTTTGCTGATGACAGCGAGAAGAAAGTTAAATTGCTTACTGGTAAACGAGTTCAACTAGCCGAAGACCTCAGTAAGTAGTTCTTTCTGCCCTTCACCTCACTGCCTGTTTACCTTTACCATTTCCATTTATTTGTTCATCCGTTTAATCTCAGACTTACAGAAAAATTACAAGTATCTACAAGGAACTTTTTCTTTCTCTGAACTATTTGTGAGTAAATTGCTGATCTGAAGTCCCGTCTGCTTTAGTGTGTACTTCTTAGAAATAAGGATTTCCTCCTTGCAACCATAATGCGAATACCAAAATCAGGGTGTTCACACTGATATTATATCTAATTCTCAGGCCCCATTCAAGTTTCCCCATTGTCCCAATATCATCTTTCCATAATAGAAGATGTTGGCTTTCTTTTTTTGAAGAATGGTATTTAAAAATAAGATCTGGGGCTAGGTGGCTCACACTTACAAATCCCAGCACTTTGGGAGGCTAAGGTAGTAAGATTGCTTGAGCCCAGAAGTTCGAGACCAGCCTAGGCAACATAGCAAGACCTCGTCTCTACAAAAAATTTTAAAAATTAGCCAAGCATGGGTGGCACATGCCTGTAGTTCCAGCTACTCAGGAGACTGAGGTGGAAGAATCACTTGAGCCCAGTAGGTCAAGGCTGCAGTGGCCATGAGCGTGCCACTGCACTCTAGCCTCGGCAACAGAGTGAGACTCTGACTCAAAAAAATAAAAAAAAGAATATCACTGCTCTGAGGCCCTCTCAGTGGAAAGAACTAGGGAATAAATGTTGTATATGTGTTGGTTTGCCATGAGTTGATGCTGACACTTCCGATTTTAATCTAGTACTCTAGGGTTTGTTCTCATATTCTCTGTTTCCATATTTGTAGCTTCCTTTTCTGACCATGAGAAACCTGGCTCCTAGTATCCCTCATGTATTTATTTATTTTGAATAGTCCTCCTATATATGACCAAGCTTGAATGAAGGTATGTGTCCTCTTTATTACAAAAATGTTCTTTTCACCCAACCAGGATTCTTATTACTCCACAGCCTGCATTGACACCCTGCATTTTGCCTTGTCTAGACTCTGACCCATGCCAAACTGCTTTTCCTCATGACGTCCTTTTTACTGAGCTTATGCTCTGACACTTTGTGCCAGGCGTCTCCTCTTCTCATCCTTCCTACATCCATCCTCTATCCTCCCAACACAGATTTCCTCCTCACCTGAAACCAGACCGTGCCTTGTTGGAGATACCTCCTCATCCTGCCCATGCTCCAACACCTTGCGCCAGGCTCCTCCTATACAGACACTCTCCTCGTTACTGGGCCAGGCTGCCAACACCCCCGTGTGAATCCTCTCTTAACCCAGGTTAGGCATTAACACCTACAGAAGACCACTCTGGTTTCCCCTTCCTACTAACCCAACTTGGCCCTATTAATCACCTCATCACTTTGGGGAGATACTTAGTTTTGTTTTTTAATGCTGGTAGCTTCCTAGCTTAAAGGTTGGGTCGCATTTAAGATGGACTTAGATCTTTGAGAATTCAAGGAAATCAGTGAAATATTAAGATTATTAAATAAAAATACTGGTGACTGGGACTTCTGTTTTTTATAAGTTCCCTTGTTTCAGCTTCATGAAACAAAGTAGTTTTTCTTTCAATGTGTACCTAAATTTTCTGTCTTCCAGGTTTTCTGATATCCAAAAAAAAGCAGACACTTAATAGAAAGAAGTTCTTCACACTTGAAAGCAGTTTCTAAGCTTATTTTATATTACTGCAATACAGTCACTGGAATATCCAGAAGTCAGACAGGGTTTTGTTTCATGCCCCGTGCTTGAGCAGTGAGCTCTCCCCCCATCATCATCCAGCCCTTGTGATCTCACTCTTTCTTCTAGATGTCATTGCTTTCTCTTTCCTTTTCCATCTTTAAATATTCTTTTTCTGAAACATGTTTCATTTGAACTTTTATTTTTATTTTCTGTCACTTAGAGTTTTTGTTCTCAGGCAGGGAATCTCCCAAAGCCTTAGTGTCTTTGTTTGTAAAATGAGTACTATAGTAGTTATTTCATAGAGTTGTTAGGAGAATTACTTCAACAAGCATTTGTAAGTCCCTGGTTCAATTTCATGCTAAATTAGTACTATTATAGGAAGCATTATGTCACTACCATAATGTGTACAAATATATCTTTGTATCCTTCAGGATATAATTATCAGACAGTGAAATAGTTCAATGTATTTTTCCAACATATACATTTTTAAGTGACTGAAAATGATGAATCTTTGCTCATGTTTTTAATAGAGCCTGTGTTACCCCATCACTCTCCACTCCCAATTTGATTATTTAAAGAAAGTTTATTACTAACTCAAATATGTACAATATCAAGTCTTATATTCTGCCAGTGGTTTCTCTGAGAAAGTAGTCATTTGACTCAAATGTACTACTTTGTACATATAAAATTATGGTAGTGTTAATGTACCAAATTATGCCCTTGGAAGCAAGGGTTTCGCCAGTGACTAAGCTTCATCAGTCACACTAAAGGAGATGAGGCATGACTTTATCCATTAGTTGAAAAGGAGTCTTGAGAGTGCCTTTTCCTTACTGTTTATCTTTGGGCTAACACTTGGGAATATAGTCATGGATACTTTCAGCCAGAAAACTTTCAGAGTTTAGCAGTTACTAATGTATTATATGGATCAAAGTTTCGAGTATAGCCTATTAGACTAGAACATGGTGTATTGGATAATAAAATTTGGAGAAGAGAAGGCAGTCAAGTTTTTACTGCCATTTCAGAATAGTACAGATTATTATGTATATTACTATAATTTTCATGCATTCATATTGCTTGCCAGTCTTAAACTTGGCTGATTTTAAATCATTTTCTTCGGAGATTTGCTGATTGTCCTTGAAGATATACCATGTTCTCTATTGAAATGAAGCCATGAAGCTAGAGTTAGGAAGACTAAGGAGAAAAAAAAAAGGAGCCCACTTATTTTTGCCTCAGGTAGCTTATGGGAAGAGAAGTCATACATAGAACCTAGGATGTTTTGGAGATATGGTGACTTCCATAGCTGGAACAGGGAATGGACAGGAGCATCTTAGGATATAGTAGGTGAGGGAGTGCTAAGGAGAATGAGGAGATGTCAACAGGACACAGCAGCTCTCTTGAGGGAGCTCTTGCTGGCTAAACCTGGGACAATTTGGGCATCAAAATAATGACAGTAACAAATTGTAACTCACTGGATGAAATAGGAATCCATGAATTGATAATTACATAAATAAGGGAATAAAATCAGTGATTCAGAAAGGGATGTTAATGTAATCACACAAATATGTCCACAGAAAATACTTATTAATTAAAAGAGGAAAAACCCTGGCAATCACCACTTTAATTAAGTGGCAGAGTTAGTATAAGTAACAGTCAAATAAAACCCATGTGCCATCCATCTTCTAAAATGCATTGAGAAGAACCCGGCAGCACTCCAGCAGCACTTGTAGGATAGTCTTATTAAAAGTGTATAACTAGGCCGGGCTCGGTGGCTCAGCCTGTAATCCCGCGCTTTGGGAGGCCAAGGTGAGTGAATTGCCTGAGCCCGCGGGTTTGAGACCCGCCTGGGCAACTTGGCGAGACCTCATCTCTACAATAAATAAAAAAATTAGCCGGGCGTGGCTAGCGCACGCCTGTAATTCCAGCTACTTGGAAGGCTGAGGCAGAAGGATCGCCAGAGCCCAGCAGGTCAAGGCTGCGGTGGCCAGGAGTGGCCACTGCACTCCAGTCTGGGCAACTGAGTGAGACTCCAACTCAAAAAAAAAAAAAAAGTGTCTAACTTAAACCCAGTCATAACAACACATGAGACAAACCCAAATGAAGGTAGAGTCTGCAAACTAACTGGCCTGTGATCTTCAAATGTGTCAAGATCATGAATGATGAGGAAAGACTGAGGAGCTGTTCCAGTTGAAAGAGACTAAAGAATGTGAAAATGAAATGCAATGTGTGATCCTGGATTGGATCTCATTACTCTAAAAAACATTAATGGGATAGTCAGTGAAACTTGAATGAGACCCAAGGGTTCCTTGATAGTATACATCAATGTCAATTTTTAGGTTTTGATTGTTAATAAAATTGGGATTATTTAGGAAAATACCCTTATTTATAGCTACACAGTAGAATATTTGGAGATGATAAGGCATAATTGTAGTAAACATTTCAGGAAAATATGTTTTTTATAGTGTTCTTGGTAACTTTCTGTAGGTCAGATTTTCACATAAAAGGTAAAAATAGTAAAGAAATAAAAGATTTACTTTTTTTTTTTTAACTGATAATGGGTCATGTGAAAGTACTTTAGAAAAAAAGACTTGAAAACATCTCTGAAAGTATTAAAAGACTGAGTTACCTCATAGACAATGTAATGAGATAGGCAGCTTACCTTTCCACTTGATTCTTTATTTGCAGTATCTGCCTACTCTTAGAACTGTCCAGTGTTTAAATATATCCCTTATGCCGGGCTCAGTGGCTCAGCCTGTAATCCCACGCCTTTGGGAGGCTGAGGTGAGTGGATTGCCTGAGCCTGCGGGTTCGAGACCCGCCTGGGCAGGCGAGACCTCATCTCTACAATAAAATCAAAAAATTAGCCAGGTGTGATAGCGTGCGCCTGTAATTCCGGCTACTTGGAAGGCTGAGGCAGAAGGATCGCCGGAGCCCAGCAGGTCGAGGCTGCAGTGGCTGGAAGCAACCACTACACTCCAGTCTGGGCGACAGAGTGAGACTTCAACCCAAAAAAAAAAAAAAATATATATATATATATATATATCCCTTATGACCTTCATGAAATTATTTTGATTTTTGTAGAAAGTTTAATGTCAAAGAATTTTTTAATAGGTATTTAAATACAGCATCAACTTAGATGAAATCTATTTGGATTCCCAGGGTAAGTTTTAATCATCTGTCTAATCTATTTATTGAAATAGACTACACTTTTAGAATACTTTCTTTAGAGAGATGAAAATTGGTATAGTATGGCTCAATTCAAAGTTGTTCTTTCTTTATGATTTGTAAAATCTCTATTTTATGGTTGTCAGTATATAAAACAGGGAAGTACTAACATTGCACAGACTTTTGTTAGAATTTGGTTCCTACCCTATCCTACCTCAGAAACTGAGTATCTGGGTACTG